TCACAGCAGGTCACATGACAGTTGTATACAATGGATGGCTTCATTCATGCCATCCATTGTATACTAGTGCCTAGCTGTGAATGGTCACAGCTAATCACATGCACATGTCATGTGATTAGCTATGACCAAATTACAGCTAAGCACAAAAAAAACAAAAAAAAAGCTGAATGAATCGATTTCATTCAGGTAAATGCTTGCTTATAGCAAAGTAATTCTTTGCTATAAGCAAATTGTGTAAAAAAAAAAAAAAAAAAAAATACTGATCACTTCCCCAAAGTAGTACAATGTTACTATGATAACATTGTACTACTTTGGTCATAGTAAAATATGAAAAAAAAATCTTAAAAAAAATTTAATAAAAAATTTAAAATAAAAAAAAAAAAAAAAAATATATATATATATTTTTTTTTTTTCATACTGTCACCAGTCAGTGTCCCTGTTCACCGCCATGCCAGTTATATGAAGGCGCTGTACTGCACTGGTGACAGTATGTAAAAAAAAAAATAGTGAAAATAATTTTTTTAATTTTTTCATTTTCCGAAAAATTATGACAAAAAAAATACAACTTCAAAAAACTCGCCATTCCTCTTATGAAGTACGTCGGACTGTCTACTCTGCAAAAAGGGGTCATTTGGGGGATATCTGTACTATTCTGACATTCTTGGACCTCAAGAAATTAGATTGGCTGTCAGTACTTCAGGATTGATCAATATTCAGATCTATACCGTAGTTTGTGAACTCTATAACTTTCCTACAAACTAAATAATACATCCTAATTTGGGTTATATTCACCAAAGACATGTAGCAGAATACATCTCGGCCTAAATTTATGAAGAACAATTATTTATTTGTAAACTTTTATAACAGAAACAAAGAAAAACGTGTTTTTTTTTTTCAGAATTTTTGGTCTTTTTTTGTTAATTTTAGCAAAAAATAAAAACCCCAGCGGTGATTAAATACCACCAAAAGAAAGCTCTAGTTGTGTGAAGAAAATGATCAAATTTTAGTTTGGGTACAATGTTGTATGACCGCGCAATTGTCATTCAAAGTGCGAGAGCGCTGAAATGTGAAAAATGGCCTGGGCAGGAAGGGGGAAAATTGCCCGGTATTGAAATGGTTAATACACACTTATTGCGATTTTTTTTTTTTTTTTTTAGCAAAGACACGCAGCAGAATATATTTTTGCCTAAATTTATGAAGAAATTTTAATATTTTTTATTGGATGTGTTTCATAGCAAAAAGTCAAAAATATATATTTTTTGCTTCAAAATGGTTGGTCTTTTTTTAAATAAATAAAAATCCAGTATATATACCGCCATTTTTAAACGCTATAACTTTCACATAAATCAATACACACTTATTGCCATTTTTTTTTTTTTTTAGCAAAGACATGCAGGAAAATATATTTTTACCTAAATTTATGAATGTTAGGAATTCATTTTATTTTTTTAGTTTTTATCAGGTATGTTTCATAGCAAAAAAATATATATATATAATTTTTTTTTTTTTTTTTTCAAAATTGTTGGTCTTTTTTTTGTTTATAGCGCAAAAAATAAAAACTGTAGAGGTGATCAAGTACCACCGAAAGAAAGCTCCATTTGTGGGGGAAAAAAAAAGGACGTAAATTTTATTTATGAACACAGCGCAAAAAAAATGGCCTGGTCATGAAGTGGGGAAATCCTCTGGAGGGCACTTATTGCGATTTTTTTTTTAGCAAAGACACGCAGCAGAATATATTTTTGCCTAAATTTATGAAGAAATTTTATTATTTTTCATTGGATGTGTTTCATAGCAAAAAGTCAAAAATATATTTTTTTTGCTTCAAAATGGTTGGTCTTTTTTTAAATAAATAAAGATCCAGTATATATACCGCCATTTTCAAACGCTATAACTTTCACATAAATCAATATACACTTATTGCGATTTTTTTTTTTTTTTTTTTTTAGGAAAGACATGCAGCAGAATATACTTTTCCCTAAATTTATGAAGAAATTTTATTATTTTTTATCGGATATGTTTCATAGCAAAAGGTAATATATATATATAATTTCTTTTTTTTTTTCAAAATTGTTGGTCTTTTTTTGTTTTTATAGCGTAAAAAATAAAAAACTGTAGAGGTGATCAACTACCACCGAAAGAAAGCTCCATTTATGGGGAAAAAAAAAAAGGACGTAAATTTTATTTATGAACACAGCGCAAAAAAAATGGCCTGGTCATGAAGGGGGGGGGGGTGGGGATAAGTGGATAAAGTATATTTTTTTCCCCAAAAAAAATGCTTTTGAAAAATTGCTGCGCAAATACCGTGAGATATAAAAAATTTCGGTGACCGCTATTTTATTCTCTGGGCCTCTGCTAAAAATATATATATATAATATTTGGGAGTTTTAAGTCATTTTCTAGCAAAAAAATAAAAAAATATAGATTTTTCCATTTAGGAGAGAAATGTCAGAATGGGCCGGGAAGGAAGAGGTTAATGAGAGATGCCGGATGGGTGGGGGTGATGTGGGGGGCACTGATCTCCATTGAAGTGTATGGGAAGGTCGGAGGACTCTCAAGGTTCAGCACCCCGGCCAGCTCCGATGACAGAAGAAGGATCCATCCCTGCCAGGCCTCCCCTCCCCACCCCTCCTCCTCACCCGAAGAGACCCCTCAGGAAGGAGTGAGACGACTTCACCCTCTTCTCCGCCTCCGCCATCAGCTGCACGGCCTCCCGCTCCTTCCCCGAATTGTCCATGGCCATTGTGAGGAGGAACTGCGACCGAAAACCGACTGACAGAGCCGCCTCCTGCACCGACACACCGCCACTGACCTCCGCCGGCCACCGTCTGCCTCAGAGCCGGCCGCCGAGCATGATGGGAAACCGAGTTTTCGCTAGTGGGTGTGGCGGAGGAGAGGGCGGCCACGTTAGCTGAGGGCATGGCGGGGCCTGCGGACATGTTGACTGAGGGCACAGAGCGCCCGGCGATCTCTGAAAATTAACCCGTTTTCACGTGAATAAAGTTTTCTGTGAAAGGACAGAACGCATGTGGCTGCTTTCTATTAATGAAAATGACAACATGGAAAGGAGGTTTCTCAGGAGGACTTAAGGCTACCATTGGAGGGAATAGCCCTCTTGCCACCTTAGTTGTCACCCTTTTCGTCTGAAGGCTCTGTTCATATCACTACAACCGTGGGTAGGGAAGCCCATTTGTTTCAATGGGCTGATCTACCTAGGTAAACAAGTCCCCGACCCTGCTGCGGGGAAAAGCAGTCCCAGACCCTTCCTCGGGTAAACAAGTCCCCGACCCTTCAGCTGGTAAACAAATTCTTGACCCTTTTGTGGGGAAAAGCAGTCCCAGACCCTTCTGCGGGTAAATAAGTCCCCGACCCTTCTGCGGGTAAACAAGTCCCTGACCCTGCTGCGGGTAAAAAAAGTACCAACACTTTAACGGGTAAACAAGTCCCCGACCCTTCTGCGGGTAAACAAATCCCCGACCATTCTGTGGGGAAAAAAGTACCGACACACTTGCGGGTAAACAAGTCCCCGACCCTGCTGCGGGTAAAAAAAAGTACCAACACTTTAACGGGTAAACAAGTCCCCGACCCTTCTGCGGGTAAACAAATCCCCGACCATTCTGTGGGGAAAAAAGTACCGACACACTTGCGGGTAAACAAGTCCCCGACCCTGCTGCGGGTAAAAAAAAGTACCAACACTTTTGCGGGTAAACTAGTCCCCGACCCTTTTGTGGGGAAAAGCAGTCCCCAACCCTTCTGCGGGTAAAAAAGTACCGACACTTTTGCGGGTAAACAAGTCCTGACCCTTCTGCGGGTAAACGAGTCCCGACCCTTCTGCGGGTAAACGAGTCCCGACCCTTCTGCGGGTAAACGAGTCCCGACCCTTCTGCAGGTAAACAAGTCCCCAACCCTTTTTTCGGGTAAACAAATCCTCGCCCCTTCTGCGGGGAAAAGATTGCCAGAATCGGATGTGATTCAGGCGCGGGAAAAGAAGGGCCCTGTACCATGCTTGTGCAGAGGCGAAGCGTTTTGAGCCATACAGAATGTATCGCACCACACAGACACCGCATGTTAGACATGGCTCAAATCGCACCGCACAGACATCACATTTGATGTGCGCAGGTATGCGGCGATTCCTGTGTGAATTGCATGGGGTATCCCACACCACACAAGTGTGAACCCAGTCTCAGGAAGCAAAATATTACCTCCTTACAGCCTGTAAATCAGCGTTCATTGCTGCGGCATGTGTACAGCTGTCCATGATGAAGTAGCAGACATGGCAATGTACGTAGTCAGAACAGCTCCCGATGTACACAGAACAGTGTCTTTTGGCACATTGACTTATGAAGGTCATTGCTCCCTGTGACTTCGCATGCAGCTTCATGATGCCATCTATTGCTGTGTGTAACAAAACTAGTCTTGAAACATTTCGATTCCACCTTGTATATGCGATAGTGCTAGACTAACATATTGGTGCTGCTGGATGTACTAAAGACTGAGTCCTCCTTCAAAGGGCTGATCAGCAGTGAAGGCATAGCTCCCACCTGTCCTTGATTTTGAAGGACTGTGGACATAATTAGACTTGCTCACGTTTTGCCTTTTTGTACGCTTGTCCTAAGGAAGGTAGAGGCATCGATCCACATACCGAAGTTGAGCTAGAGCAAGGAGACATCGTGAGGGTAACCCCAGGTCATGTGTTACATTCCCAAGTAGCGGGACTTCATCAGAGGGTAGGTATCCCAAACACCTTACATAGCAATCCCTGTTTCCCTGAAATGTGTTGGCTTCTCCTGATGCTTCTATTCAAGAAACATTTCGTTTAGACCTCTGAATATTATGAATTTTAGTACTGGGTGCTCCTCAATGGACCCCGAAAGCTTCTGCACTGTTTTCTGGAATGCGGCACACAGTCATGCATTCCCATAGGTTGGGGTGCAATGTATTGGCAAGGTGCATTGGAGTGCTTTTAAAAATTAATGACCGCAGCAGGGGTGGACTGACGTCTCATGGGGCCCCCGGGCTATAGGGGATCATGGGGCCCCTGTGTCCTTGCCCTAACTCAAAAAAGTCTATGAAAAAGGTACCAGGGGCATCTCATGGGGCCCCCTACTGACCCCAGGCCCTCGGGCAGTGCCCAAATGGTCAGTCCGCCCCTGGACCGCAGGATTGTCGCAGTGCAACCACATGACCCTGGCCCTAAAGCTACCTGCAGAGAACACAAGGGACGATCTGTAACAACTGCCATCAAATCTGTGCCTTTTAACCACTTGCCTACCGCAGATAGCCAAATGACAGCTTCACTGTGCCTGGCCAGTTCTGGGAGAGCGTCATATAACGTCTTCCCAGAACGCGTCCTCCCATGCAGCCCCGTCGATCTCCGTAATCGCTGTGTCCTGAGGACACCGGCAATTGTCAGAGGATGGATCGCCACCGATCAGTTCCGCCCGCAAGTGATCAGCAGTGCCACGCACCAGTGTCCAGCAGTACCTATTAGTGCCACCCACCAGTGCCCAGCAGTGCTGTCAGTTAGTGCCACTCAGCAGTGCCCATCAGTGTCGCCTATCAGTGCCCATCATTTTTGCATATCAGTGCTGCCTATCAGTGCAGCCTAATCAACGCACATCAGTGAAAGAGAAAAATTACCTGTTGGCAAAATTTTATAATAGAAACAAAAACTTTTTTTTTTTCAAAATGTTTTATTTTTTTTGTGCTATAAACAATTGGAGAGTAAATACCACCAAAAGAAAGTTCTATTTGTGTGTAAAAAAAAATGATAAAAATTTCATATGGGTACAATGTTGCATGACCGCGCAATTGTCATTCAAAATGCGACAGAGCTGAAAATTGCCCTGGGCAGGAAGGGGGTAGAAGTGCCCGGTAGGCGAGGGGTTAAAGTATAAAGACAATGACAGAGCTGTATGAATCCTTCAGAGGTGATGAAGCTGAAATGTCAGGCTGTACGGGGCTTTGTCCTTACTGCAGAGGCAGAAGTGAAAGCGATCCAAAAGGTTATTGATTGGATGAAAAGCACGGCCACTGACTGCCAACGATTCCCCCGAGAGCTTTAATCCTTAATGCATTTACATTTTTATTGCCGGTGTTTTTCTTTTCACCTGTTTTGACTTTGTTATTCTTAATATATATACATTTTGTTAAAACAAAAATAGTGGTAGTTAGGTGCTCCAACAAAGCAAGTCGGGACCTGAGACTATAAAGCCCGGTTCCCACCGATGCAGGTTGCAGTTGAAGTTCAAACAAGTAGGAGCAGCGCTGTAAGATGAATGTGCAGAAGATGCTAATATACAAATAATAATGTATCTTACTTCATATAAATCTCATAAAATTCAAAATATTAACATTGACGTACAAACCTGTTCATAACACTGCCCCAAACTACATCACCGACCTGCTATCCATCTACCACCCAAAACGCACTCTCCGCTCCTCACAAGACCTCCTACTCTCTAGTTCCCTGGTCTCCTCCTCCCATGCCCTGTCTTCAGGACTTCCCCCATCCTCTGGAACTCACTACCCTAATCCATCAGACTGTCACCTACCCTCCTCACCTTTAGGCGCACCCTGAAAACCCATCTCTTCAGAGAAGCCTACCCCGCCCTCACCTAATTGCCGATCTCCTCTACTCTCCCCACCACTCCATCCCCCACAGTTATTTCCTCCTGTACCACTCTCCCCTCCCTCCTAGATTGTAAGCTCCAAGGAGCAGGGCCCTCAAACCCCTCGTGTATTGTATTGTATTGTTACTGTGCTGTCTTGTGCAGGGGCAGACTGACCATTTGGAAACTCGGGCACTGCCCGAGGGCCCGGGGTCAGTAGGGGGCCCCAGGTACCTTTTTCAAAGGATTTTTTGAGTTTGGGCAAGGACACAGGGGCCCCATAATCCCCTATTGCTCGGGGGCCTCATGAGTTGTCAGTCCACCCCTGGTCTTGTGTATTGTCTCCCATTATAATGTACAGCGCTGAGCAAACCGTTGGCGCTATATAAATCCTGTATAATAATAAAATGCAAATCATACAAATAATATCCCTTTTTAGAGGTGACCTGATGCAGTGATACCAAATTGAGGGACCTTAAAGGGAACAGGAACCTGACCATACCTGGGAATGAGTGATCTGGCTGACCAGATGAGACAAAAGTGATCTCAAATGCGTGTTTTTAGCGCACATCTGGTGAGTGCGCAATTCACTTATTTCCAGTCATACCACCTGTTACTCCTGATCTAGAGGAATTGAGCACCTTTAGATGAGATCTGCTATGATCTTCAAGTTCATTGTTTGGACTTTCACATACTCACCACTATAACCACTCATTTGTGGTCTTATGTTTTTTTAACTTTATATTTATTGCATCTATGGCGTAATGTTGTGATATCATTTGCATTTTATAAGATTTATAGGAAGTAAGATACATTATTATTTATATATTAGCATCTTCTGCACATTCATCTTACAGCGCTGCACCTACTTGGTGGATGAAATCCTTTATTGGAATACTTTACATGCAATATGATAAGAACATGACCGCTCCAAGACAGGACAGAGGAGCTGTAGGCAGGTTTGGTGTGAAATGCGTCCACATACAATATAAGAACATGGCAGCTCCAAGACAGGACACAGGAGCTGTAGACGGGTTTGGTGTGAAACACGGCTACATGCAATATAAGAACATGACAGCTCCAAGACAGGACAGAGGAGCTGTAGCCGGGTCTGGTGTGAAACGCGGCTACATGCAATATAAGAACATGACCGCTCCAAGACAGGCCAGAGGAGCTGTAGGCAGGTTTGGTGTGAAATGCATCCACATACAATATAAGAACATGACCGCTCCAAGACAGGACAGAGGAGCTGTATCCGGTTTTTGGTATGAAAAACGTCTACGTGCAATATAAGAACATGACCGCTCCAAGACAGGACAGAGGAGCTGTATCCGGGTTTGGTGTGAAACACGTCTACGTGCAATATAAGAACATGACCGCTCCAAGACAGGACAGAGGAGTGTAGTCGGTTTGGTGTGAAACGCATCTACATGCAATATAAGAACATGACCGCTCCAAGACAGGACATAGAAGCTGTAGCCGGGTTTGGTGTGAAACGCGCATGACCGCTCTACATGCAATATAAGAACATGACCGTTCCAAGACAGGACAGAGGAGTAGTAGGCAGGTTTGGTGTGAAACGTGCCTACATGCAATATAAGAACATGACCGCTCCAAGACAGAGAAGCTGTAGATGGGTTTGGTGTGAAACACGTCTACATGCAATATAAGAACATGACCGCTCCAAGACAGACAGAGCAGCTGTAGATGGGTTTGGTGTGAAACACGTCTACATGCAATATAAGAACATGATGACCGCTCCAAGACAGGACAGAGGAGTAGTAGGCAGGTTTGGTGTGAAACGTGCCTACATGCAATATAAGAACATAGCAGCTCCAAGACAGGACAGAGGAGTAGTAGTCGGGTTTGGTGTGAAACGCATCTACATGTAATATAAGTACATGACCGCTCCAAGACAAGACAGAGGAGCAGTAGACAGGCTTGGTGTGAAACGCGTCTACATGTAATATAAGTACATGACCGCTCCAAGACAAGACAGAGGAGCAGTAGACGTGTTTCACGCCAAATGCGTCTACTGCTCCTCTGTCCAGTCCGGAAGCAGTCATGTTTTTATTGCATGTAAAGGATTCCAATAAAGGATTTCATCTGCCGTATTGCTGTTTGTGCGGCCAACCATTCTGTTTTTCCATTGCATCTAAGATCACGGATCGGGCCAGCACCTGCATGTCTGTTGAGGGGTTATGTAGATTCGGCACGCACCTGGAGGGGATCTTTTGCTCTTTCAGATTAGAAAATGCATAATTTATCAAAAACCTGTCAAAAAGGCATACAAAAAAAACAAAAAAAAGAAAACACTACAAACATGCTTTTCTGCAGTGTCTATTAAAGTCTATTGGACCAAAAACAGAACATTTTGTGCTTAAAAAGAGTCCGACGCTTTCCAAAAATGCAGCAGCTGAAAAGAGCATAGATGCGAACAGTGTAATAAAACAGCACAAAAAAATGAATTTATAAATTAAAAAAATGAATAAAGAAAATTCCAAATAAGTCCCAAATAAAAGTTCCGTGCTCCAAAGCAAGAAAAACGTGATGAAAAATTATATATATTTTCCAGCATGCTTACATCATCTGTGTTAGATCAATTTTCACCCACACTCACCAAATCAAGTGGATTCTCAAGCTATGGCCTGTAGTGATTAACTGCAAAAAGCACCAAATACCGCATAGGTGTGAACCAGGCCTTCAGCAGGCCATAGGCAGATCGAAAATCGGCTGTTTTAAAAAAAAAAAAAAAAAAAAATTGGTCGTTCGATTGGCCAACATTACTACCAACGGTAAGAAAGTCGGCCGATTTTTGTCCCGTCTATGGCCGGCATTTAACCCCATAATTACAGGAGGGGGATGGGGGGGGGGGGAGGAGGAGGAGAAGAAGAAGAAGGAGAAGAAGTCCAGTCCGCTTTTATATTTTACATGAAAAAGTATTGCGGTTGCAACAATGTATCTATTTGTATCCATTTCGGATACAGATGTTTTTATTCGGATACAAATAGATACATTGTTGCAACCACAAGACTTTTTATATAAAATATAATAGCGGACTGGAATCCTTTTTCTTATTTTTATTCTTTTTGCAGGTCACAGCTCAGATTTTTTTTATCGGTAAAACGATCGGCCGATTTGCCCATCATTGCCGTAAAAATCGGCTGATCGTCAAAATCAGCTGCAAATTTTCCAACATGCCCGATAAAAAAAAATGTGCAAAAAGCCCAAAAAACAGCCAACCAATTTTACCCACTAACGGTGTGAAAATCGGCCGATTTTTTTTTCCGGCCGAAAAATCAGCCGATTTTGGACCCGTCTATGGCCGGCATTAGTGTGTTCTATCAGAGAGGTGTCAAATGCAGCAGGAAGATCCTTTGGCCCCCTCTGGCATGGAAGATGGGGGTGAGGAGTGGGAGGGACTCTACAGCTAAATAACTTTCCACTAGCTAGCAGATTTCCCATAGAATCCTAGACATTCAATTTAGGAGCAAATGCAAAATGTCAACTCAGTGATACAAGTAACTCAGCAGAAAGGGTGACAAATATCTCCCAGCTGACCTCCCAGACAAACAGCAAATAAATAGAAAGCATATTGTGTATTACTTCTCCAGGACGCTGGTTTGTGAAATTGAATTACAACAGTATGCCGTCAATTGGTTTTACTCTAGAGCACGGGTGTCAAACTGGCAGCCCTCCAGCTGTTGCCAAACTACAAGTCCCATGAGGCATTGCAAGATTGACAGTTACAAGCATGACTCCCAAAGGAGAGGCATGATGGGACTTGTAGTTTGGCAACAGCTGGAGGGCCACCAGTTTGACACCCCTGCTCTAGACCAGGCTTGATGATATGAAAGCCCAACTCCAGGCAAAAAAAAATAAAAAATCCCATGCTGTGGGGCTATACCCGTACTGCACGGATCAACTGCTGTTTTTCTAGGAGAAAGGCTTACCTAATCCTTTGATCCGCCCAGCACAAGTCCGGTCTGGTGCCCCTCTGTGTTCTTGAATAGTGGACTGTGCTTGATATTATCACACCCAGAGCAGGCTCCATAGACTAGGAACGGTCCACCGTTGGGCTGTGGGGGAGTGCTCTTTTCCGGAGGAACGAAGGATGAGGCGAGTATAAAACTTTCTCCTCGCCCCTAGGCAAAACAAGCAGTTGACCTATGCGGTGCAGGCCCCCTTTTTTTTGCCCGGAGCTGGGCTCTAAATAATAAAAATAAATTAGAATTAAAGTCAAAACTTTTATATTTTTAATCTTGAATAAAGGAAGATTGCAACCCCAGGTTTTTTTTTTTGCCAACTGTGCCCCATTAAAGAGATTTCCTTTCACTTCCTGTCCTATAACCATAACCGGATGTGAGGAAATCCCTCCAAAGTGAAGAAATGACTGGTTATCAGCAGAATTAATGTCCCCATTGGAAGATTTCCCCCCCCCCCCCATTCATGTTCTGGAGACAACCCAAAATTTGGGATTTTCTTTCACTTTCAAATAGAGCGGGGGAACACTCTCTCAAAACCTGCGTTTTAATGGCGGGATGGTCAAGGCAAGCACTGCGGGAAGATCAGTCCATGAGTAAACTCCCAAGGATGCACCAATCCAGATACACTACTTCTGTGTAGGCATTAGAAAACAGTGAGGGTTGATTGAAGAATGTGAAGGAAGTTACAAAGGAAAAAAAAAAAGAATTATGCATTGGGGTAGGGGTATAGGGGAGGCGCACCTTGGGGACATGTCCTCAAAAGCTTGCCAGCATCCAATCACTTGAAGGTACAAGGCTATAACCCATGGTGTATGAATAGGCTGCCTGTGTCCTGTATAGGACAATAACATATCTGGCAGAGGGCATGGAGCATCAACAATGGTCAAGGCAAGCACAGCGGGAAGATCAGTCCATGAGTAAACTCCCAATCCAGATTTGGGATTTTCTTTCACTTTCAAATAGAGCGGGGGAACACTCTCTCAGAACCTGCGTTTTAATGGCGGGATGGTCAAGGCAAGCACTGCGGGAAGATCAGTCCATGAGTAAACTCTCAAGGTTGCACCGATCCAGATACACTACTTCTGTGTAGGCATTAGAAAACAGTGAGGGTTGATTGAACAATGTGAAGGAAGTTACAAAGGAAAAAAAAAAAGAATTATGGATTGGGGTAGGGGTATAGGGGAGGAGCACCTTGGGGACGTGTCCTCAAAAGCTTGCCAGCATCCAATCACTTGAAGGTACAAGGCTATAACCCATGGTGTATGAATAGGCTCCCTGTGTCCTGTAGAGGACAATAACATATCTGGCAGAGGGCATGGAGCATCAACGGAAAAGGTTGGCATACCACACTCTTTGAAGCCAACCTGGAGCTAAGAGAATGACTGAAATGCTCTTGGCTCCAATCCTTTGAAGTAGACAAAAGCAGAATTTCAGAGGGGAAAGGCATAGATCAGAACATACCAGTGGCGGACTGACAACTTATGGGGCCCCCGGGCAATAGGGGATCATGGGGCCCCCTGTGTCCTTGCCCACACTCAAAATACACCCAAAAAAAAGCCTATTTAAAAAAAAAAAAAAAAAAAAAAAAAAGGTACCAGGGGCATTTCATGGCCCCTACTGACCCCGGGCCCTCAGGCAGTGCCTGAGTGCTCGAATGGTCAGTCCGCCTTGGAACATACTGATCCCATGGTACCACCAGGGTATCAACTGTTGTGTCCGCATGCTAGAGACAAACCCGTCCCACTTCTTGTTGAACTGTGAGCTGTGGAGATCACTGGAGCATGAAATTCCACACAGGAGAGGATAGATTTTACCTTCATCCATGCTGCAATATTCTTGGTGCCCCTCTGACTATTGAAAAATGTCCATGCCTCGGTACAGAATTGAAGCTGGAGATGGAGTCTACAGGAGCCTGGCATTGTCCCTACGATCCACTGATCACGGATGTAATGTTTCCCAGGCCGATTTGCAAAAAATAAAATAATAAATCCAGATTTTTTTTTTCCTGCAAATATAAATATACATACACAGTGGCTAAGTGGTTAGCACTTCCGCCTGGCAGTACTAAGGGCGTTGGTTTGAATCCCAACCACAGCACCACCTGCCTGGAGTTTGCATGTTATCCTTGTGCCTACGTGGGTTTCCTCCAGGTACTCCGGTTTCCTCCCACACTCCAAAGACATGCTGGTAGGTGAATTGGCTCCTGTCTAAATTTCCCCTAGTATGTGTATGTATGAATGTGAGTTAGGGACTTTAGATTGTACACCCCTTGAGGGTTAGGGACTGATGTGAATGTACAATATATATGTAAAGTGCTGCGTAAATTGAATGCTCTATATAATTACCTGAAATAAATATATATACAGTCAGGGCCATAAATATTGGGACATCGACACAATTCTAACATTTTTGGCTCTATACAGCACCACAATGGATTTGAAATGAAACGAACAAGATGTGCTTTAACTGCAGACTGTCAGCTTTAATTTGAGGGTATTTACATCCAAATCAGGTGAACGGTGTAGGAATTACAACAGTTTGCATATGTGCCTCCCACTTGTTAAGGGACCAAAAGTAATGGGACAATTGGCTTCTCAGCTGTTCCATGGCCAGGTGTGTGTTATTACCTCATTATCCCAATTACATTGAGCAGATAAAAGGTCCAGAGTTCATTTCAAGTGTGCTATTTGCATTTGGAATCTGTTGCTGTCAACTCTCAAGATGAGATCCAAAGAGCTGTCACTATCAGTGAAGCAAGCCATCATTAGGCTGAAAAAACAAAACAAAGCCATCAGAGAGATAGCAAAAACATTAGGCGTGGCCAAAACAACTGTTTGGAAAATTCTTAAAAAGAAGGAACGCACCGGTGAGCTCAGCAACACCAAAAGACCCGGAAGACGACGGAAAACAACTGTGGTGGATGACTGAAGTATTCTTTCCCTGGTGAAGAAAACACCCTTCACAACAGTTGGCCAGATCAAGAACACTCTCCAGGAGGTAGGTGTATGTGTGTCAAAGTCAACAATCAAGAGAAGACTTCACCAGAGTGAATACAGAGGGTTCACCACAAGATGGAAACCATTGGTGAACCTCAAAAACAGGAAGGCCAGATTAGAGCTTGCCAAACAACATCTAAAAAAGCCTTCACAGTTCTGGAACAACATCCTATGGACAGATGAGACCGACATCAACTTGTACCAGAGTGATGGGAAGAGAAGAGTATGGAGAAGGAAAGGAACTGCTCATGATCCTAAGCATACCACCTCATCAGTGAAGCATGGTGGTGGTAGTGTCATGGCGTGGGCATGTATGGCTGCCAATGGAACTGGTTCTCTTGTATTTATTGATGATGTGACTGCTGACAAAAGCAGCAGGATGAATTCTGAAGTGTTCCGGGGAATATTATCTGCTCATATTCAGCCAAATGCTTCAGAACTCATTGGACGCCGCTTCACAGTGCAGATGGACAATGACCCAAAGCATACTGCAAAAGCAACCAAAGAGTTTTTTAAGGGAAAGAAGTGGAATGTTATGCAATGGCCAAGTCAGTCACCTGACCTGAATCCGATTGAGCATGCATTTCACTTGCTGAAGACAAAACTGAAGGCGAAATGCCCCAAGAACAAGCAGGAACTGAAGACAGTTGCAGTAGAGGCCTGGCAGAGCATCACCAGGGATGAAACCCAGCGTCTGGTGATGTCTATGCGTTCCAGACTTCAGGCTGTAATTCACTGCAAAGTATTTGCAACCAAGTATTAAAAAGTGAAAGTTTGATTTATGATTATTATTCTGTATCATTACTTTTGGTCCCCTAAGAAGTGGGAGGCACATATGCAAACTGTTGTAATTCCTACACCGTTCACCTGATTTGGATGTAAATACCCTCAAATTAAAGCCGACAGTCTGCAGTTAAAGCACATCTTGTTCATTTCATTTCAAATCCATTGTGGTGGTGTAAAGAGCCAAAAATGTTAGAATTGTGTTGATGTCCCAATATTTATGGACCTGACTGTATATATATTTATTTTTTTTTATTAAAAAGGTGGGCATAGCCTTTAATACGGTATTAAGCCGAAAAACAAATATGTTATACTATCTTTTTTTTTTTTTTTCTAGTTTTTTTACGTGGTGATCTGGCCAGTAGCACACCTCCTGTATTAGAGCGCTC